ATGCCAAATGGCCATTCTGAAGATGTAGCCAGGAAGGAGCTTGATAATCTTGAGGCTGCAAATCCGCACAATTTGATGGTTGTTTCACCGAGTCAACAGGCTACTGATGACTTCAGCTTCTCTCATGATGTGAATGATATAACCAAGGGAGAAGAAAGGGTTCAAGTTCCTTGGGTGAATGAAATTAATAAAGAGCATCCACCATTCTTTCACTATATACCTCGCAGTCTAATTTTCCAAAGCGCTTTTGTAAATTTCTCTCTCTCTCTGATTGGTAATGATAAGTGTTGCGAGTCTTGCTTTGGAAATTGCCTTACATCTTCTGTCCCTTGTGCTTGTGCACGGGAAACTGGGGATAACTATGCATACACGCCAGAAGGTCTGGTTAAGGAAGATGTTTTGGAAGAGTGGATCTCTCTTGCTCGTGACTCTCAAGGAAGCCACCAGTTCTATTGCAAGGAATGTCCTCTTGAAAGATCAAAGAATGATGATTGCTTAGAACCGTGCAAAGGGCACCTAGAGAGGAAGCTTATAAAAGAATGTTGGAGTAAATGTGGTTGCAGTAAGCATTGTGGCAATAGAGTGGTGCAGCGAGGAATAACTCGCAAGCTGCAGGTACAGTTTAAATCACACCTTCCGCTCTCTCTCACTTTGGCTATAGCATATATTTGAAAACTGTTTCTCTCTGTTTCAGGTATTTTTTACTTCGGAAGGAAAAGGATGGGGCCTTCGTACCCTTGAAGACCTACCTAAAGGCTCGTTTGTTTGTGAATATGCCGGAGAAATATTAACCATCTCAGAAATGTATCATAGAAAGGTGCAAAACACCAAAAATGGGCAGCATACTGACCCTGTATTATTAGATGCCTTTTGGAATAAAGAAGAGCCTTTCAAGGAGGAAAAAGCTCTCTGCTTGGATGCCACAAACTTCGGAAATGTTGCCAGATTTATCAACCACAGGTATTTGATTAAACTGAGTAGAGTTTAAGCTTCCTTTAATATCATACTTCCCCATTGTTGCCCACGTTTCTACTGTTTGATGCTTATTTTACTTTCTGTAACCTTTGCACCAAATTATTTTTGTATTTTTTTATGGGAATAGTAACCTCATTATCTTGAACTCATCGTTTTCCATTTTCATCTTTTCTTTGGCATTATTCTTGAAATCTCCCTCCCACCCTTGGAATTGTAACACTGTGATGAGGGTTTGAAACATGAAACGATTGTTCCTGTTTGTGATGTTAATGTTTTTGGCTTCGATTATCTCCTTTCTAGCAATCAAGATACAAATTTGTTAGCTACGTATTGTGCTCTTGTATCACTAGATCAATAGCACAGTTCGGATGTGAACTGTTGTTATTCGCGTCCATTGGGAAGTTTTGTGACTATTTGGGTTCAGAAACATATTGCAGAAGGTATATGTGTGCATTGCAAATGCAGAAGGTTTCAGCATTTTATGCTGTATGAAGATTGCGTTAATGTCATGGCCTTGAAGTGGTAGGGATAAATAGTTGATACAAGGGTCTTTTATATGGAAGTTCCATTTATGAAGAGTCATGGTGCAAAGCAGTAAAAGGCTTTGGAATCACTAAATTTTCATGGCTTAGAAACCTCTTGGAGTTACTCAGGTTGGGGTTTTAAATATCCCATGAATTTTCTGTCCACCAAATGATCTATGATTATGTGTTTGGCCCTAGTTTAGAACCCGATGAACATTTGGAGGTCTGGATATTAAAAGGAATCGTGTATATGTTATGGGTGCCAGAACAGAACATGAATCCTTCTCTTAGTGAAAATTGTATATCAGCTGGTTGAGTGAAAAAAGATTTCCAGAAGTGCCAATACTGAGTTGAAACATATCTTTTAATCCTTTTTCTTCTTTCTTTTTAGTAAACAATAGTTTTGCTATCCTACTGTATGTATATTTGAAACTGTTGCTGTAACTTATGCAAAAACTTGCTAGGCAGGCGTTTGTACATTTACTGATCTAGTTGTCGGATAATCTAATTTCTCTCTTTTCAAAATTTTAGATGCTTTGATGCAAACTTGGTTGATGCTGCAGTTGAGATAGAGACTCCGGACCATCATAATTATCATGTATTGACTCTCGCAAGTTTACTTTTCTTTATCATTTTTGTATACAGCCCTTCTTTCTCTTCCATAGCAATATCTTTTTTTTTTTTTTTTTTTTGGAACAAGAAACGAACTACGATAGTGATCATCTTATTCAGTTCCTTTCATTTTGCAGCTTGCCTTGTTCACTACAAGAAAAATAGATGCCATGGAAGAGCTAACTTGGGTCAGTGGACATTATTGTATATAAATGTGGTTTGGGTTATTTTGCATAAATTTTTATGACTTGGTCAACTTTTACCTGTCCTGTCCTTATAACTGAGGCCTTAAGTGGAAGACATCTCAATGAGAGATACCTCAGTGAGGTGATAAACTGCATCTTGGCTGCAAGAGTTTCCGCATTAGTTATATTTGTGATATCTCTCATTATGATGTGTTCTACTCAGGTTTGTGGAAACATTTGTATGCATGTTAGGTTTATAGATGGTAAAGCAATGAGGCAATGGAATGTGTCTTGGATGCAAGATTTTCTGCATGAGTTATAGGGTTCTTCCCATCGCTTTTATGGACTTTTTTTAAATTTTTTCTAAAATGTCAATGAAACAAGAAGGTACCAAGAAGATACGGCACATGGCAAAAATAACATACTACTAGATTAAGAAGCAAAGCACAATCAATTTGCTTGATCTAAAGAACTAAACAAGCCAAAAACCTTTAGCTAGAACTTATTATCACCGACAAGACCTGGCAATACAAACCAAAACTGCACAACAGAGACACTTCGAAACTAGACTGCTTGCTGAAAGCTACACAATAAACAATAACCCTTGCTCCATAGAGAACTTTTGCCTGGATTTTTGAATGAGTTGAAGCAGCAAAAGAAAGGAAACTGCATGTATCATTAATATAGCTTCATCCATAGCAACAATGCTAGAGGAGAACCATGTCTTCAAATACCAGCAACAGTTCCTAAAATCGAGATCTACAATTACTGAAGCAATTCCATAAGCTTTCCTTGCTTATATACAAACCAGCTAACTCTAATACGCAACCATTATCCATAGACGATAGACAATTAAAATTGGTGCAGCCGGTAGTATAGTCATTTCCTTTGAACTGTACGTCTTCCTTATGAATGATGAATGCAGTTTTGATTGTGACTAACTGGTGCTTAAAAGTGTTCTTTTAGAATTTTTATTACCTTGTAGTGTAATTCCTTGGACTGTTCAAAAGGCCGTTACTGATATTTTGCTTTACCTGTAGGATTATGGCATTGATTTTGATGACCTTGATCACCCTGTTAAGCCATTTCTCTGTCAATGTGGCAGCAAGTTCTGCAGAAACATGAAACGATCTTCTAGTAGGTTCTTAATTTTCTTTCCCAGCTTTTCCATTCTTGTCTTGATAGAATTGGCTCTCATCCTTGTTTATTATTTCCATGTGAACCTTGCTTCTTAATATTTCCTGATCTCATCTATTTTCGTGAACATATTGACACTTCTGTTCTGGAGTTAAAATTTATACTTCCCTACTTTTTCCATCATTTTGGAGAACTATAAACTAAAATAAATGTGATATAGTTCGTCCATAAAATCAATATAATTGTCGCATTCAGTAGTTTATCTTTTTTTGGTGCCAGTGTTCTGATGAATACATATCTTGATTAAAACGGATTGAACCAACTGATCTTCTTAAACGCCAAAATTTTATGGGATCAATTATTGCTTAGATACACCATCAGATCAACCATTGTGGGAATGAAAACATTTAAAGATTTATTGCTAAGCATGTTATGGGTTGATGATTGATGGTTTATCGATGCTTTTTATGGTGATTAGTAAATGTATACTGCTGGAAGATCCAATATCGTGCAAGTTTATAGTTTGCCGCACAGTGTTGCCTTAGATGATGGAAATTTAGTAGGTCCGTGCACATTTACTGGGGTTCCTTCTTGCAACACATTATTGTCTCGTGTCTCATTTTTCTTTTGACACCTAGTTTAATTTTGTTCCATTATTTCTTTTGTTTTCGTACGATATCAGTTAAGATCTCGCATGTATGTCCATGTATATGTGTGTGGCTGATTCGTATGCAAATATACTTGAGCTTGCTTGTAGAGTTAAAGTTTCACACTAAATTTGCTCTACTAACATACTTGTTACGGGCTTGTGTTCTTATTTTACTTAGGATCTAAATCAGCATCAAGTATGAGATAAGTGGGATTATGGCGCCAGTTTCTGCCTTCTTATATCATGGCCTTGCAAGCTGAAGTCATTAGAAAATATTGAAACCACCACAATGAATTTGGTTCAGCTGACTAATGTCCAATTTAGTTTTGAAGACGATCGTTCGGTTTGGGTGGTAAAGCTGAGGATCGATTGCGGATTCACATTATGGCTTTTTTGCTGTTACATTATATGTATTATCACAAAGATGTTCATAGATATTTGATAACGGGCCAATGTTGTTTAGTGGTGTTGAAAGTTTTGAAGATTGTAGTTGATCTGATCAGGATCTGGTCGCTGTTTTTTTGGAAAGGGGAATGAAATTTTTGTTTCTTCTCCTGATATCCTGCAATGGCTGATATAATATGGGTACCCCATGCACAACGTATAAATAGGCAAATCCTGAAAAATATGGTATTTCGATTCTGTTAAAACTAGGGAAATTATTGTGAAGTGAAAAAATAGCAGTTAATATGAGCATAACATTGTTAATAACAATGTTCTTTTGATTTTTTTTATTTATTTTGTTTCATATATTTATTTATTTGACTAATTCATTGGATGATATCATTGGATACTAATATAGGGAATATCCAAAATGGGGCGTTTTATGTCAGTAAATTTAAAAAAATCGATATTTTTTAATAAAAAAAAATCGGATTTCCATTTGACGGTAATGGTAAAGATCAAGGTTCACTTCTCCCATTTCTGTACCACATTTTCCCATTTTATTGCTTCCCTACCAAACGTGAACCCACAGACTCACTTCAAATCATCCTGCATTTTATTTTTTCAGCTTTCTTCCCTCTTGGGGTATTGGACAACTTTCGGGTTTCGTGGGCCGAATCGATCTTCCAGGTTTTGCCTTCCTCCTTTCTGTTTACTTGGTAAGTTCTTCGCCTGTAGTTCTTTTTCTTGTTGGGTTTTAGGGTTTTAATTTCTGTTTCCCAGTTTAATCGCGCGGTTTTTGGCATATACCCGTTTTCTGATCAAGAAATTCCGGTTAATTTTGCATGCATTCTTGTATTTCATACTACTTTACTGTCTTGTTGACCATAGCTGAGTTCTACTGGTTTTACCTTAGCCAAGAACGCATTGTTATTTTCGTTATCTCCTCAAGAACGTAAATGTATGTTTTGCGATATTACATTTAGATGTGATAACTCCATATGCTAGCGTTTTGGATATTTGTTTTAATGTTTGAAAACAATGGATAAGATGTCATACTGTTACTTGATCTAAACTAAGTTTTACTGAATAATCTAGTACAGTATATTTAAGTAGTTCTTTGTCCACCTGTTTTTGCTCTGCCGTCACCTAGTCGAACACAAAGAACACTTCAGTTTTAACTTGTAAAGTTTATGGTGGAAAAGTATAAAAGAATTTTCTTCTCATTGAGTAACAGAATAAGAATTTCATATATATTGCAATGGAAATTTGCGTTGCGCTTGATGTGTCAATATTGCAGATTGGCAGTTCTAGCAAATTTCCAAGAACTATCTGGAAGGAGATGTGATGCATACGGGTAGGATGGAAGGAAACTTATAAAGGCTCTACTGAAGGACGCAATAACTTTTTTTGTGTGTTCAAGGGCCTTTTTTGCTGTGTGTTTTCATGTTTCATACGGCGTAGCAGGCAAGTCTATGCTCTATGATCAGCTTAGAAAGTGCAAATGGCAAGTGCTCGTAAGATGGGCCTCCCTGACAATCAAGTAAAAAGGTCTTGATGTAATTCTAACTAATGTAGGCACTTTTGTCCTTTGGATCGGAATAAATATGGCACCGAATCCTCGGGTTTTGAAGGCTTTTCGTGCAATGAAGGATATTGGTATCAGTGAAGACAAGACAAAACCCGTCTTAAAGAAACTTCTGAAGTTGTATGATAAGAACTGGGAACTTATTGAAGAAGAGAGCTATAGAGTTCTTGCGGATTCTATATTTGATGAGGAAGATAGTAAGGTACATTCTACGAAACTCCTTTAATTGTATCTCTTTCTCTTTATGCGTTGAGTTTATATTTCTCACATATGTATGCATCATCTTTCAGGCTATAGAGGAAAAGAAATGTCAGAATTCTCAAGTGTGTACTCATTATCCTGCTTGATGTGAAGGTCTTATTTTGACCCTCTTAGTTGTGCTTATACTTGCTGCCTTTGTTTTTGTTAACGATAGGTGGAAAATTTTGGGGAAGAGGTTCAGGCGCCTGATGAGCCAGAACGCCCTCTGAAAAGGTTGCGCTTAAGAGGCCAAGAAACCCAGGTGGATGGGATGGCTTTAAAAAAGCCCAAATTGGAAGAGGATGTGTTTCCTGAAACATGTCCCAAACAGCAGATGCAGTTAAGTGGGTCTAAGAGATCTGAAACTGATCCAAGTTCTTCTCGTTGTGTAGACAAAGGGAAGGAAACTGTATCACCACATGTGGTTACAAGAGTGAAAAAATCTAGCTTAGAGAGACCATCTGCTGCCGTGCATATTAAGGAACCAGGGGCTGAGTCAGGTGCCAAAAATTCCAGAGTGAGGGCGTCTGGGGCTCAAGCACTACTCAAGCCTAAAGATGAGCCGTTTACAGATGATACATTTATGAATGAATTGCCTATTGCTGTGATTCATCCAGGTCAACATATACTTTCTTTCGATATAGATTAACATTATTTGGTTCAAAATTACAGTATAATGTTGTAGGGTAGAACAGAGTTTTGTTCTAATTTGAGGCAAGCATTGGTAATTGCTAAAAATGAATCGACATTTACTTATATGAAGCCCCTACATGAATGAGAAGATCATTTTGCTAGTGAAGGCAATCATTTAAAAAGTGATATTCTGTGGAATCTTCAACCTGCACATTATTTCTAAATTCTAACTACTGGATTATTTTGTTTTGTTATAACTTGAACAGGTTCTTCAAGAAAAGAAGTTTATTCCATTGCAAATGATTCAGTTAGGAAGCCGGATGGCCAAGTTGCTCAAGCATCACTTCCTTCAGACGGAAGTAACAAAGGCGATCATACGGAGACCTCATCATGTAAGAGGATAACAGGCAGTGAGCTGGCAACTGTCTCGGAAGAAGTACATCCTAACTTAGAGATTGTATCGTCGCCCCTAGGAGAGGTAAAAATTTCCTTGAGCTGCAACTCCGCTTTTGGACGACCAGATTTCCATATGCCTAGTCGTGATGCAGTTATAAAATATATGGAGGAAAAATGTCTGCAGTCATATAAAATCATTGACCCCACATTTTCTGTTATGAAACTGTTGAGTGACATGTGTGAGTGCGTCTTGGAATTGGGAATTGATTCTCCTGATGAACAACAGGAAGGTTCAATTAGTAGGATTCCACTTCTAGATGTAATGGAGAATTCAGACCCAATGTATGTTCCAGGGGCTGTTGCCAATGAAGGAGATTTGAATCGTCAACCAGCCAGTACTGTCTCTGATAGAGAACTTGCACCACAAGTTCCTAGTATGTTAGAGTCTTCAAGTGTTTCCAATGACCAGGCTATCCATGATGCCTCTCAAAGCAGCAAAGGAATACCAAAAGGTCATTCTGAAGATGTAGCCGGGAAGGAGTTTGATAATCTTGAGGCTGCAAATCCGCACAATTTGATGGTTGTTTCACAGAGTGAACAGGCTACTGATGACTTAAGCTTCTCCCATGATGTGGATGATATAACCAAGGGAGAAGAAAGGGTTCAAGTTCCTTGGGTGAATGAAATTAATAAAGAGCATCCACCATTCTTTCACTATATACCTCGCAGTCTAATTTTCCAAAGCGCTTTTGTAAATTTCTCTCTATCTCTGATTGGTAATGATAATTGTTGCGAGTCTTGCTTTGGAAATTGCCTTACATCTTCTGTCCCTTGTGCTTGTGCACGGGAAACTGGGGATATGTATGCATACACACCTGAAGGTCTTGTTAAGGAAGATTTTTTGGAAGAGTGGATCTCTCTTGCTCGTGACTCTCAAGGAAGCCACCAGTTCTATTGCAAGGAATGTCCTCTTGAAAGATCAAAGAATGATGATTGCTTAGAACCGTGCAAAGGGCACCTAGAGAGGAGGCTTATAAAAGAATGTTGGAGTAAATGTGGTTGCAGTAAGAATTGCGGCAATAGAGTGGTGCAGCGAGGAATAACTTGCAAGTTGCAGGTACAGTTTAATTCGTACCTTCCTCTCTCAAATCCCCTCCCCCCGACAATATAAATTTAGAATTCAGAACATATGTTCTAAGTCTCTGGTGATATTTACTTTATCGAAGTTAGTTGTTGACATGTACTTATTTAATAACTCGAGGAGTTTCTAACTGCTTTTATGCTTTCAATTTTCCCTTCACTTTCCACATCTGCCTGCATGTAGAATCAGACCATAAACATAACTTTGGCTATTGCATATGTTTGAAAACTCTCTCTCTCTATTTCAGGTATTTCTTACTTCAGAAGGAAATGGATGGGGCCTTCGAACCCTTGAAGACCTACCTAAAGGCTCTTTTATTTGTGAATATGTTGGAGAAATATTAACTATCTCAGAAATGTGTCATAGAAAGGCGCAAAGCACCAAAAATGGGGAGCATACCGACCCAGTATTATTGGATGCTTTTTGGAATAAAGGACCTTTCCAAGAGGAAAAAGCACTCTTCTTGGATGCAACGAACTTCGGGAATGTAGCTAGATTTATCAACCACAGGTATTTGGTTAAACTTCATAGAGTTTAAGCATCCTTTATCTCATACTTTCCACCTTGTTGCCCACGTTTCTATTTGCTGCTGATGTTACTTTCCATACCCTTTGTACTAGGTTCGTTTTGAAATTTTTATGGCAACTGCAACTTCTTTTTTCTTTTGAAATAATCACTTTCTATTTTCATTTTTCTTTGCCATTTCTCTTGAAATCCCCCTTTAATCATTGGAATTTTAACACTGTGATGAGGTTTTGGAAGTTGAAAAGATTGTTCCTGTTTCTAATATTGTTGATATTGGCTTCGATAAACTCCTTTCTAGTATTCAAGATACAATTAGTTGGCTATATATTGTGCTCTAATATCACTAGATCAATAGCACAAGTGGGATGTGAACTGTGGTTATTGGCGTCCATTTATTAGGATAATCTAATTTCTGTTTCTCTTCAAATTTATTAGATGCTTTGATGCAAACTTGGTTGATGCTGCAGTTGAGATAGAGACTCCGGATCATCATAGTTATCATGTATTCACTCTCGCAAGTTTTTCTTCTTCTTAATTGTTTTTGTAGACAGCCGTTCTTCCTCTACGATAATGATCATCTTTTTTTCTTTCTGAACAAGAAACGAACTGCCATAGTGATCGTCTTATTCGGTTCCTTTCCTTTTTGCAGCTTGCCTTATTCACTACAAGAAAAATAGACGCCATGGAAGAGCTAACTTGGGTCAGTGGGTATTGTTAATATATAATTGTGGTTTGGGTTTATTTGTTTGCATAAATTTTTATGTCTTGGTCAACTTTTATGAGGCCTTAAGTGGAAGATATCATAATGAGAGATACCTCAGAGAGGTGATAAATTGTACTTGGCTGCAAGAGTTTCATCATTAGTTATATTGTGATATCTCTCATTATGATGTGTTCTACTCAGGTTTATGGGCTCATTTTGTATGCATATCAGGTTTATATGCAACGTGGCAATTAACTGTATGTCTTCCTTATGAATGATTATGCAGTTTTGGTCGTGACTAAATGGTGCTTAAAAGTGTTCTTTTAGAACTTTTATCACCTTGTGATGTAATTCCTTGGACTGTTCAAAATGCCGTTACTGAAATTTTGCTTTACCTGTAGGATTATGGCATCGATTTTGATGTTAAGCCATTTCTCTGTCAATGTGGCAGCAAATTCTGCAGAAACATGAAACGATCTTCTAGTAGGTTCTTACTTTTCTCTCCCAGCTTTTCCACTCTTATCTTGATAGAATTCGCTCTCATCCTTGTTTATTATTGAATCTTTTGTTCTTGAGTTAAATTTGTACTTTCCCAACTTTTTCCATCCCTTTGTGGAGACTATAAACTAAAATAAATGTGATATAGTTCCTCCATAATTCAAGATGTTTTTGTACAATATCATTCAAGATCTCCCATGTAAGTCCGTGTCTGTGTAGTTGATACATATGCAAATATACTTTATCTAAGCCGATTGACGCTTCCCAGGGTGCTGTACTAACTTGTTACGTGTTCTTGTTCTTAACTTACTCAGGATCTAAATCAGCCTCAAGTACAAGATGAAGTGGGATTGATGGCGCCAGTTTCAGTTTTTGATATCATGGCCTTGCAGGTAGAAGTTACCAGGAAATACTGAAACCCCCACAATGAATTTGGTTTCATAGTTTCGAAGACGCTCGATCGGTTTGGTTAGTAAAGCTGAGGATCGATTGCAGATTCAAACTATGGTTTTGTTTGCTGTTAGTTTATACGTATTACCGCAATGATGTTCATAGATGTTAGATATCTGAGCATGGTTCCAGTGGTGTTGAAAATTTTGAAGGATTGTAGTGATTTGTAGTGGGAAAGGGGAATGAAGTTTTTGTTTCTTCTCCTGATATCCTGCAATGGCTACTGTGGATACCAAAGCAGAACGTACATAAAGGAAAATCCTGAAAGAAAAAAAATTTAGTTATTTTTGTTGTTAATATTGTATTTTTTTGTTAATTTTTATTAAAATATATTATTCCACAAAACTTATTATCATAGTATTGTTTTATTCCAGTTGGGCAATGTCGTTGAATAAAAATATTATTTGTTTAATTTTTTTTATAAAATTTGAATAAATAAATATAATAACTCGAACTAATCTAAGATTAGATTGAGTTTATTGTTTAATTTATTTAATAAGAATGAGTTGGGTTTAAAAATCATTTCCACCCAATCGTAACCCATAAACACCCTTATAATAATAATAATTATTATTATTATTTATGGGAAGTGTTTTAAATCACTATTTTTCTTTTTAAAAAAATAATTATTCGTTATATTGCAAGAATTCTATTTTTGACGTCATAATGATAGAGGGGCATTTATGCTAAAAGTGGTAGTTAGTGGGGGTATTTATGTAAATATGAGCACCTTTGGCGGCACCCAAAACCCTAGAGCTCCATGCATATATATATATATAAACTAATGGTGATACATCTGTGCTAGCGGCCGCCGGAGAAACGCTGAAGTCCATCAGCAATGTCGAAGCGAGGTACTCTTCTCCTTCATTACTCCTTGTTTTCGCATGTTGTCTCATTGATCAAACTGAATTTAATTTGATGTTATTCTTCTTCGTTCTGTTTAATGCGTATGCTGGAACTAATTTAATTGCTACCACAGGAAGGGGAGGATCCGCTGGGAACAAGTTTCGGATGTCACTGGGTCTTCCAGTGGCTGCTACTGTCAACTGTGCCGACAACACAGGAGCTAAGAATCTCTACATCATTTCAGTGAAAGGGATCAAGGGCCGCCTCAATAGATTGCCATCCGCATGTGTTGGTGATATGGTTATGGCCACCGTCAAGAAGGGAAAGCCTGATCTCAGGAAGAAGGTCTTGCCTGCTGTTATTGTTAGGCAGCGCAAGCCATGGCGCCGAAAGGACGGTGTCTTTATGTATTTCGAAGGTTTTGCCTATTTCCATCCTTTTCCTATTTTTGTTTTTTAGTGCTTTTGTTTGGTTTCCTTTTACTCCATTAGGCAGCGGTAAATTGGATAGAGGAGGAACGCGTTTTCCTTACTTGTGGGAAGTTATAGTGTTGAAATTGAATTATTGGGGATATTAATTATTGGGTTTTTGGTGTAGTTGATCCCATTTAGCTTGTGAATATTCGTTCAGAGTTTGATTGCCTGCTGTTGAATGAGTTTTTATGAAGGCCTTTTGCTTTATTATTGTTCATGTTTCTTCTTAGATTGAAATAAGTTGCATTTTTTTCGAAATAAACTTTTCTGGTTATTCATTTCATTGATGAACATCTGCTTATCTTGAAGTGGCATTTTAAAACTACATTGTGTTATCTGTTGGGCTTAATTCCCTTTGAACATTCTCTTAATTTAAAAAATTGATCTGAATTGATGTAATTAAAATAACTGATGTTTATATTTAAATGTGTCTTATTTTCTTACTTTGTTTCGCTTCATAGTTTCAAGAACTAGAAGACTTCAATTGAGATTCCTCGCTTGTAATTTGGAGTCTTTGTTTCTATCTTTGATGAGAATTTTATATCGGGAATGTTGACTGGGGAAGTAATACACTTCTACCTTTGTCCTCGAAGGAAAATGGACAATTGATTGTGAAATAGTGAATAGAATGATTAAAAGTGCATATTTGTATTATTTGTCATGCTGGTTTTGCAAATGCCAATTTCTTACCACCACCATAACTTATCCTTCTGTTTTTCTTATATATATGCATTGTAATTTTTTTTTGCAGATAATGCTGGTGTTATTGTCAATCCCAAGGGTGAGATGAAAGGTAATGTTTATTTATTATCTATTTTTAAAAATATCAATTGTTTCTATACCCAGCAAGTATTTGGGTCAGCTTGAAGGGTAGTGTGTTTCTGGTCGGTGAGTATAGAATGTTATAAATGCGTGACATGCCATGGAAGATGGCAATCATCATGAAGGTTTACACGAATGCAATTCTTGGTGGGAGTTTCCACAAATTTGTCCTTGCAGATTGTTTACCTTCTGATATACAGTTTTAGCCTAATGGATGTGTTGGTGGTACGATAACAATAGTTAGAATCGAACGAAGGCGAAGGAGAGGAGAAATACCAATTCCTAATTAGTCTTGGTTTTATAAAGTCTAACTTCATATTTTAACAATGAGCCTGCCTAGGGAATATGTTTAGTTTAAATTTATCTTCTATTTTGGACATTGATCACACCACATAATGGCTCGACTTATTTATTAAATAAATAACTAATGATGCTTGATGAAACCTGGCTACTTTGGTTGGTTAGCACCCCTTGGCTAATTATCTCTTACAGGACGACACTGGCATGCGTAGTCACGAAGATCTATAAAGATGCTGTATTTGATTGTAGGTTCGGCTATTACTGGCCCCATTGGAAAGGAATGTGCCGATCTTTGGCCAAGAATTGCAAGTGCTGCTAATGCCATCGTATGAGACAGATAATCGAAGCAATTATAGGTTGTGCCATGTTTTAGATTTTCTTCTGAAGTCTTCTTTTGGTTGGGTTTGCCTTGCCTCTGCTTTGTTAGACAGATGCAGGCTCCTTTTTTAGGTTTCTTATTCTAATGGATTGCTCAAGTCTTATTGCTGTTGCTTTGCTTTCTCCTTTCTGTTTTGGGAACTTTTGCAGTTTTTGCTATATAGATACGAAGGACCCATGTTTTATTACAATGGAGAAATATTGAAGTTTTGGTTCTGTTCTTGGCTGCTCTTGTTGGTCATATAATCATCTGTTACTAAAGATACTGTTCAATGCCAAGCAACGTCATGAACACACCCTTACGTTACTACAGAATGCTTGAAACCGAAGGATTCCTTCAAATGAGAATGTTGAAATATTAGTTTATTGGTAGCATGTTTTTGTGGTTGGGTTGGATGGCATTTCAGAAGAGTTGATTGGTGGATGGCTTGTCGTTCCACTAAATGAATAATTATAGTAACCCTAACGTGTTCAAGCTAGAAAATCACTCCTATAGTTTCCATCACTTGTTATACTTGGTTACAAGATTTTATGTTAATTTCATCACTCTGCCTCATATTCGACTCTAAATAAAAGTGAGCTACAAAATCACTCCAAATGATGATGTACGACATATATGAGAGGAGCTGTAAGTGACCCCTAGAGTCGAAAGAAAATTGGATGCCATAGTTTTATATTATTAGATCTATGCCATATATAATATATATATATATATATATGTGTGTGTGTATGTAATGGCATATGGCGAAGAGAGATACACAAAGATATATATATATATAGAGAGAGAGAGAGAGAGTGTGTGAGAGAGGCGCCTTTGAATTGAAGGCAAGGCAAGGCAATTTTGAACCAAACCGTCCCTCTCTGCTACCTATCAGTACCTAACATGAAGTCTTTTTAACTCAAACCCAACCCCAACCCAATGACTTCCCAACTCACAGTTTGGTATCATTCCCTTTTCTGCTCCCTTTCATATCATTCTTACCCTTTAATACAACTCTTCCCCTCTTCCTTCCTTTCTCAACTCAACTCTCTCCTTTCTTCACGTCCGCTTTTAAGTTTTGATTCGTCTCCAAAGACATGGCCGGTTTGGTCACCGGTTCCCAACACTATCCCCACGTCGCCAATGAGGTCAAACATTTCATCCTTTTGTCTTCTTGTTATATACTATCTATGTAGCTTATCATATTTTTAATAGGTCTCTAAACTTAATGTGATATGTTTTGATGGGTGTAGAGTCATCGTGGACCTGCATCATCATCGATGAAAATATGTCGAGTTTGTGGTGACGAAATTGGACTCAAAGATGATGGGAAAGTATTTGTGGCATGTCTTGTGTGTAATTTCCCTGTTTGTCGTCCTTGTTACGAGTACGAAAGGAGCGAAGGCAACAAGTGTTGTCCCCAATGCAACACTCGCTACAAGCGTCATAAAGGTACACATGTTTCTTTCACTACGATCATACCACGGTTAAATCACTAATAAACTCAAAAACTTACTCGGAGGAATACTCTTCTCAGGCTCGCCTAGAGTCATTGGTGACGACGAAGAAGCTGACGATGCAGACGATTTCGACGATGAATTCCCCATCAAACACCACAGTAACGATGAGTTCGAATCAAAACAGCCCAATCCTTCGGTAACGTAGACTTTGTTGGTGCATTGATTTACAGAGAAAAAACAGAGGAAGTTGAACATCAATTGTGGGTTTTATGGCGTGCAGGAACACGATAACTACAAGCAGCAGAATTGGCATCAAAACGTCCATAGTTCCTTCTCAGTTGCAGGCAGTGGTATGATGAAATCCGGTTGTGTTTGTGGTTTCATAATTTTGGATAATGAGTTCATGATTTGACTGTGGAATTGCGCAGTGAAGGGGAAGGAGATGGAAGGCGAGAAGGAAAGTTATGGAAATGCTGAATGGAAGGAGAGAATAGAGAAGTGGAAAGTGAGGCAAGCAAAGAGAGGTTTGGGGAACAAAGATGATGATGGAAGTAACCATGATCAACCCCTAGAAGATGACTTCTTGTAAGCCCGCCTAAACCCGACCTCGGTTTCTCAATTTTTAAATTAACCGATCTATTAGATATAACCCGATACCAAACTAGTTTAATTCTATGTTATAAGATTCATTATTTTTTAAAAAATAAATACGGTAATAATCTGTTATTCATAAAATTTGTGAACGCATTATAAATAAATTTAAAAATTTAATGGATGATACAAATAACATAACAAAACTATTTTTATTTTCATTTTGGGTTCTCATTTTTATCTAAAATTTTAAATTACTTTAAAGGTAGTTTTAAAACATTTGCAAAAATAATAATATAATAATAGTATTGTTTTTCAAACATAATTTAACCTATATATCATTAATTAATTTAAATATTTTATTTTTATAACTTTTAAAATAATATTTTGTTTCTATACAATTAATAAATGGAAAATTTAGGTGGTAATTAGAAAAGAATGGCAATT